CCAGCATCTGCAGTTCCTACTATCTCTTCACACTTTTCAGTTTGGGCAACCATATTCTTTAAAATAATCCACCAAGGCCGCTGTTTTAAAGGACAACATTGTAATAAACTTCTCACCGTTCTTTTTTTATCTCCGAAACCCTGCAATGTGACCAATGTTCCAAACAGTCAGTGAAGAGTTTACTCTCCACCTCATTTATTCATGGAGTTGGAAAGTGAAGCAAATCCAAGTCCCTGTTTCTGTTATATCTCATTCTTATTATCTATAACACTGACACAATCTTAAAATTCAAACTCTGAATCTATATAGTAACAGGTACATTCTAATATTGAAAACAAAAACTGCTGGAAATCACAGCGGGTCAGGTAGCATCTGTGGAGAGAAAGCAAGCTAATGTTTCGAGTCTTGGTGACTTCATCAGCTCTGATATGAGGGCCTGATTGAGGTGTACAAAGTTCTGAGGGGCCATGAGGGGAGGCGATGGCCTAATGGTATGATCAGTGGACTGTTAATCCAGAGACCCACGTAATGTTCTGGGGATCCAGGTTCAAATCTTGCCATGGCAGATGGTGGAATTTGAATTCATTAATTATCTGGAATTAAGAGTCTAATGATGACCATGAATCCATTGTTGATTATTGGGAAAAATCCATCTGGTTCACTAATCCCCTTTAGGGAAGGAAACTGCCATCCTCACCTGATCTGGCCTACATGTGACTCCAGACCCACAGCAATGTGATTGACTCTGAACTGCCCTCTGGGCAATTAGGGATGGGCAATAAATGCTGCCTAGCTAGTGACACATTCATCCCATGAATGAATAAAGGAGTGACAGGGAAAAATGTTTCCCCTTATTCAAGGGGTAACTAACCGGGGGATACAGTTTGAATGTGAGGAGCAGGAGTTTGAGTGAATTTAAGGAAGACTATTTTCACCCAGAAGATTTAAAGTATCTGAACATCACTGCTTGAAAGTGTGGTTGAGGCAGAAATTCTTAAAACATTTAAGAATTATTCACACGAGCATTTGAAATGCCACGGCATTGAAGGCAATGGGCCGAATGCTGGAATGTTGGATGTTGGATGGCCATGTGGATACAATGGGCTGAATGGCCTCTTCCTGTGCTGTTAAAAATGCAATCACTTTTAAATACTCAGACTGGGAGAACAGCAGAAGCATTTATCTCTCCTGTTGTTCTGCAATAGTTGGAGCAATGAAGTCCATAAAGTGACAGCCAAAATTATTTTTGCAGCCAAAGCGTAATTATATTCATGTAAAAGGAAGTGAAGTTACCATAGTCCTACCAGACCATGGGCCTGCTCTCTCATTAGAGACAGAGGACTTGTGGTGGTTTAATCTGAGAGTCACCTTGCCTTGGACAAGGGGAGAAGTTGAGAAGGAGAGTCCTTTGTGGTAACCTCAGCTGGAGCAGGAGTTGAACCCACATTGTTGTTTTCACTCTGTAATGTAAGCCATCTGGCCAACTAACTGATCCTTGCTGCATTTATTTTTTACGTATCTGTGTATGGATGTTTCAAAGTACCTACACCAGCAAGTATTGCTGCCTTGTGGCATTCTGTCCAGTTCTATAGCTGTGGAATAGGGATCTTGTGGTAGTATTCCTGCTCTGGTCTAGAAGTTCAAGTCCCACCTCTGCCCGAGGTGCATCGTAACATGTCTATGGTTGATTACAAATATTTCTGTGGAGCTTTTGTGATGCAGTGGCAATGTCCATGATTCTGGGCCTGAAGGTCCAGGTTCAGGTCCCACAAGCCCCAGACATAATAGGTCTGAGCAGGTTTTTTAACAGTATCTCTAGCTGTCCCAGTCCTTATTCTGTACAATGTGAGGAAATCCAGAAATTCCAGCTTCCCATTCACTGTGGCATACACACTCACTACATTGGCTTGTGCTGTGACCTATGTGAGATTATCCAAGTACCAGCTTAGTATGAAATTTCGGGTCAGTGTTTTGCTCTCTCCAGGTAGGAGCAAATTACTGCAGATGCTGGAATCAGATACTGAAGACAAAAAAAAATGCTGGAAATCACATCTAGACTCGAAACATTAGCTTACCCCCTCTCCATGGCTGCTGACTGACCCACTGTGATTTCCAGCATATTTTTGTCTTTTTGCTCTCTCTCATTCTGAGTGAGATTGGCTGGATTGATGACTCTCAGTTGGCAGAAAGGAAAAGCACTTGATTAGGTTGAGCTTGGCTGAATCCAACCCAGGGCATCATGCAGGCAGTGTGCTTTCTTGTGTCTCAAGAACTGCTTGAGTTGAGATACCAAGTTCCTATGAACTTACATTCTGACGATTCTGACTTATTACTCTGTGCCGATGATAGCTATCTGAAGAAAACCTGCAAATACAGATGTGCATTTGCAAAAATAAAAATAAGGCTTGAAATTGTGATACAAATTCCTTTATTTGTGATAGTGGATCATAAACAATTTCAGAAACTCTTTGCGGACTAAGTTTAGCATGGTATGAATATGTTACTGCAAACAATAGTTTATTTTCAACTCCAGTAGTTCATGTGGCTGAATAAAGCAATTGTATGGAATGATGTGACTGGTGTCGCAGTTGTCTGGTGTATTGTCAATGTGTTGTAAATGGTACAGTAATGTACTTGGCTCTTCCTATGAAAACACAAAGAGCACCACACATCTCTGATTACATCGCACTACTCAATAGGACCAAATCCTCTTGGGAAGGGAAGAGTGAACTTTTATATTTTTGGTGCTATTTCATTTATGGTTTCGCAACAAAATACCATTTTAAAATCCTAACCCATCCAGGCAGTGCACGTAAGGGTTACATATTTTAACATTTCATTTTTACAATATATTTTAAATGCTAGCATATTTTTTGAAACTGATACATGTAAAATATTTAGTAAAATAAAATAGTTTCGCCCACATGCACGTGAAAGTAATTTTTTAAAATCGTGAACAAGTAACCTTATAAATGGAAAAAAAGTGCCCTGTTAGTAACGTAAGAGTGTGACTTTTTTTGAATGTTTTTCAAATCACTTTCCCCCCTTATCTATACCGTAATTATTCTGTCGTTACTCATTAGATTTTGTACCATTGAAGTCTGCATCTCGTCCTCCAGCATCTTCATCAGAGTTCTCCAGTGAGGTGTTATCGATTACTCCGCGTCTGCCACCAGATCTCCGTGTTCCACTCAACATCGGCTCGTTTCCCCGTCTACACCAAGGGATGCAGCATGTTAGCAAGCAGCAAAAGTCAAAACTTGATGACCCCTGCAAACAACTCTCTATCGACTTTTAATGTAAAGAAGTGCGCAAATCATCAACAGCCAATGCTGCGCTAGATGGATGTAGGTCTTCAACTACTTGAGATTCTCAACTATGAGAAAGGTGTCTGCTGGTTTAAACGATACTAACAAGGAATGATTTCAGATTAACTACCTTCCAGCCTTCCACAACTAAAAAAGTGCCTGTGCACGATTGTAAAATTTAGGTAGATAGATTGTGACATTTGTGTGAATTCTCTTTAAATGATGCAGCATTTTATGATTAAAGAAACCTTGTAATGAAGGCTAAAAACCGAAAGAACTGCGGATGCTGTAAATCAGGAACAAAAACAAAGTTGCTGGAAAAGCTCAGCAGGTCTGGCAGCATCTGTGAAGGAGAAAATAGTTAACGTTTCAGCTCCAGTGACCCTTCCTCAGAACTTGGTTGTGAGTTTGAGTTCTGAGGAAGGGTCACTGGACCCGAAACGTTAACTGTTTTCTCCTTCACAGATGCTGCCAGATCTGCTGAGCTTTTCCAGCAACTTTGTTTTTGTAATGAAGGATTGTAGTTTAGAAGTCAGGCCCTGACAGCAACAATGTTAATCTTAGTGATCTCTTCATGAAACTAGCTACTACTTTTTTGTTGCATGTCCAACACACAGATTGTGGGTGAGATAGACCTTCTATTTTTGATTGAAATCTCTAGCCTTTGCCATCAATGTGGAAACCATGACCAGTCAGATTGTCAGCCAAAACGTGGGAAGACTGCAGTGATTACCCTATGACAAATTACTATCATGGCTTCAAAACATGCAAATAGATGTGCTTTGAGACTACACATGCTTGGGGTACTAATGGCTAGGTAGGGCTATTTCTGGATATTTTTAAAATCTAATAAATGCATCGTCTATACGTCTATTCAAGCAATTTAATTCTACAAATAAGTGGAGTTAGATAAAACAGCATCAGTGAGTGTGCCTCAATTGTGCTTCGGTGTGAAAATAAACTGGGCACTAATTACTTCATAGCTCTGATCTGTTGTGAACAGTTGATAAGCTTAAAACGGGCATAAAATATACTGCTAATATCAAAATTCTCAGTTATTCAGTTTAAGCAAACTCCACAAGTTTGTTTGCAGCCAGTACGTACCCTTAAATAACAATATCTTTTGTGAATATGCCATAGCCATGCTTCCTATTGTATGTCTGTTTCATTAACCCTTTGAGGACGAAGTGATGAGAATAAATTGTAAAATATCCATCTCTATCAACTTTTTAATCAATGTCTCATTTTTATTGAATTTATGCAGAATGAAAGATATACTTTTTATTAAAAAAAGTAATCTGGTGGAAACTGCTAAATTGATTATTCATACCATCCTCAAAGGGCTTCTGGAAGTAAAACAGCTCCATAGCATGGAATTAATAAAGCAGACCGGGTTGACCCCTTAACTGCCGCAGAGTTTTGCTTTTAGAAATGCCTTAGTGACTGCTGATGTAGTAAAAGATCATATAACTGTACTTTACAATGATTTCCAACAATGATTTGTGGCCCATTGTGCTATGGGATCGTGAGGAGATGGTTTGACTTGTGGCTAGTTTCCCCCAATCCTACATGTGATAAAATAAAGGAGTCGAAACGGTCCACTGGGTGATCTTCACTTCTCAGAATTCTCACTTTGCCTACAGCTGTGCGTGCTCCCAACTCTCCATTGCAGGTGAGCTGTGAACAAAATGTGGGTGAGGTCTGAGGAGGGAGGGGTAAGGGAAAAAACAAACAATCAAGGCTACAATAAGATTCACAAATCTTTGAGGATTCGGCAGTGTCAGGGTCTTGTCAAATGAAGCACAAATTGTTAGTGACAGCCTTGAGTACATATAGAAATTGCACATTCTGCTGCATGTGCACAGCAATATTAAGTGTTAAGCTCTTTATTCTGTATCTATTAGAACTTCTGTTCCATTTACTTATACCACATGTAATATTATTTCCATGGAATGTATTTCACAGAGTTGGAGAAAATAGTTAGGAGTGAACATACCAGGAACAATTTGAAATTCAGCACCATCTGTCCATGAATTGTTACAATTTGTTTCCTGTTTTATCTAACATGTGGTATAAAGAGAATGTAGGATGAAGAGCCATGAGATAAGATTTATATCTCCCTAAGCCCTCACTATCTACTAAGTTGCATATAAATCACATCCTGTGGCTCTTCTGTCTTTACATCACTTGTTTCTTTTGTTTTAATTCTGATATTTGTCTTCAGCCTTCAGAGTTTTCAGAAACCTCGTGTCAGTACTTAAGGAGGAAAAGAGCTGGAAGTTTGAGCAATACTAAAAGTTGCGTAGCTGAGGATTTGTACCTGGGCATTCACTGAGCAGGTTCATGTGCACTTCTGTAATAAAGACAAGATTTCCCTCACGGTTACAAATCATTCCTATTATAAAATGACTCTCAATACAAAGAATAATCAGAGCGAGCATATGTTGAGCAGAGGTCTACAAACAGAACGCTCTGACTCTTACGAAGTGAAATCTTGCAGATAGCAATCGATCGAGGGGGGAAAAAAACTATTGGAAAATCTATTCTATGTTATGGTACAGTTCTTTAGCTATTGGTAATATACACAGTGATATTTAATGAACTCAGTCTGAAATGTTACGGAGTCATACAGTATGGTCTAACTCGTCTATGCTGACCAGGTTTCCGAAACTGAACTAGTCCCACTTGCCTGTGTTTGGCCCATATCCCCGTAAACCGTTCCTATTCATGTCCCTGTCCAAATGTCTTTTAAAATGTTGTAATGAGATCACGTAGAGTTTATGCTTGTATTACACTGGGCTTTGAGGTTTTCTTCAGGCCAACAATTTTTGAATATCTGCAAATGTGATGGTTCTGTGACTAGTATGAAAGATCCAGAGGGTTCAAATACAGAGTAGCTAGTTATGAAATCCAATTCAACTAATCTATCAAGGTTTAGAAGTAGTACTGCAGAAAAAAAAAGTGTAAAAGCCAATAAACAGGCCATTAAAGGCAATGTATCGTCATAAAAAGTTAACCAGGTCACCAATGTCCCTGGGAATGGGATTTATCCATTTACTGGGTCTATGTGTAACTCGGGTCTACACTGTCAGTTGATCCTAATGACCCCTGAAATGTCCTGACAAGCTGCTCAATTGAATAAGTGGTAAGACTCACCATTACCCCATACAGAGGCAACTAGGACTGGGCAATTGCTGGCATTATGGACACATGTCCTTTTTCTCCTGCTGATCTGTCCTTAGCCTAATCCTGGAATTTGCAGCATGGATCATGGGATAATAATGAGGACTGGTAAATTGCTTTCTGTTTCTCTGTCCCCACCAAATGCAAACGGAGAGAATCATAGCAATGGGGTCGATTCTTAACTGTGCCCTGATATTGGCCTCCAGCAAGCCATTCAGTTGCATGGAGGTTAGGGATGAGCCAGAAGCCCTGTCCCAGCCAGTAACACCCACATCCCATCAAACATAAAGTCTCAGCTAGCAAGCAACATGGGGAAATTCCCATACTGTGGAGAGGCTAGTAGGCGGAGACCCTCACAACTCGATTCCCCCTTTGGGAGATTGGCTGGGCTGTTTCATTTACCTGAGTTTGTTCTTCAGTGTGTTACATTCACGGCTCATGGCTTCATTTGTCTCCGTGGCCTCTTCCAGCTCTCGCTGGAGTTTGCGCCGGGCGGCATTGATTCTCTGAGATTCCTCCTCAGCCTCTTCCAGCTGCCGCTTCAGTTGCTTCATTCGCGAATTACTTTTCTCGGCCTTCAGTGTCAAAAATAACGTGTGCGTTAATATATTTTACATGTTACTGCAGCAACCTTGCAAACACATATCTTTCTCACTGAAATAACTGCACTGAGGCTGGTATCCTATCACCAAGTCACCCTTTATTTACACATGCATAGTACACTGACTGTGGCTAGCCAGCTTGGAGTCAATCCCTAGAAATGAGGAGGCTCTCTAACACTCCTGTTTATATCTGTCAGCCAGGACTCCCTAATTGGCCCTGCTTAACAGCCCCAATCAAGGATCACAGAGTCAATAAGATCCACCTGGTTCAAATCACTGCACTCTCACAGCGACACATATATTCTTGGGAAAACATTATTTAGAGGAGAGTCATAGAGTTTTACAGCATAGTAAGAGGCCCTTTGGCCCATCATGTTTGTGCTGGTCATCAAGGACCTGTCTATTCCCATATTCCCATTTGGCAGCACTTAGTCTGTAGCCTTGTATGTTATGGCACTTCAAGTGATCATCTAAATACTTCTTAAAAGTTGTGATCATTCCTTTCGGACAGGTAAGTAAATTACATCGGAGATATGTATGGGCTAGATTTGACTCTGAGGCATGTGAGCCGTTACCAGCCATTTGTTACACTTGCATAATTTCTCCACTGACTGTCCTTGGGAGTGCTGCACTCAGATTTGCTGTAAACTGGAAAGCCAAAAATGGTACCTCATCCTCCACAGGAGATCTCTACCAGGTCAGGCAACTGCATACCTCTTTAACCCAATCAGAATCATTAATGAGCAGTGGAGAGCCTGAACAGTAAGCGTTGGTTGGAATATTGAGCCTAATGTGAAATCAAGGGATATTACCAGGAATGGAGAGTTTGAGTTATAAGGAGAGGTTGGATAGGCTGGGACTTTTTTCACTGGAGCACAGGGGTTTGAGGGGTGACATTACTGAGATTTATAAAATTATAAGGTGAGTGAGGAAGTTCAAAACTAGTAGGCATATTTTTAAAGTGAGAGGAGAAAGTTTTAAAAAGGACACGAGGCACAACCATTTTACAGAGAGTGGTTCATGTGTGGAATGAGCTGCCAGAGGAAGTGGTGGATGCAGGGATAGTTACAATGTTTAAAAGACGTTTAGATAAGGGCATGAAAAGGAAAGGTTTAGAGGGATATGGGCCAAACCCAGGTAAGTGGGACTGGTTTAGTTTGAGGATGTGGTCAGCATGGACTGGTTGGACTGAAGGATCTGTTCCGGCTGTATGACTCTGTAAGTACAGAAAGGGAAATACAGGGAAGGAAAGATTAAGAGATTAAGGAAAAAAAAGGCTGAAAGATTAAGTAAGAAAAAGTATTATTTGAGTTTTTTGTTTTCTTAAAATATTCAACAATAACTAAAATCTAAAGGAATGATAGTCCACATTTTTATAGGTTCACTTTCAGTTCCAGAGGGGCTATTTGCAGAAATTAAGACTTGTCCCATCATTAAGAATTTACCTATAGTAGATTGGACAAGTCTAGATTTAGTTTAATATGTATCAATCATACAAATTCAGCAACTTTTTTGGGACAGGATCGAGTCAAAAGGTCCTGTCCTGTATCGTATGATCCTATGAGCTCCATGTGTTCCGTGTATTTAATATCTGTGATGCTCACTGAGGTATGATCGACAGGGATAGAGCCCAAAGAGAGAGAAGAACAGTTGGACAGACAAAGGATTGGATAATGATCAGTCTGGGAGAATGAATGATTGCTAATGGAGACTGTTAGTAGCTAACAATGTGTATTGTGTGATAGCAGACTATGTGATAACAAAGTGTTGTATAGGGGTTGGGGTAAGGACATTGGAGAAGGTGCCTCAAGCCCTAAAATTACTGAACTCGATATTGAGTCCAAGTGGAAAATGAAGTGTTGTTCTTCCAGCTTGCACTGAGCTTCGCTGGAGCACTGCAGCAAATTCGGAGGAAAGGTCATCGAACCCGAAACGTTAACTCTGATTTTTTACTTCACAGATGCTGCCAGACCTGCTGAGCTTTTCCAGCAACTTCTGTTTTTGTTCCTGAGATAGAGAAGTTGGCCAGGGAACAGGGTGATGTGTTAAAGTGACAGGCAACAGGAAGCTCAGGGTCTTTTTTGAGGATAAAATGTAGGTGTTTGTGAAGTGGTCACCTTCATTTCTCCAATGTAGAGGGGACCACATTGTGAGCAGCAAATGCAGTCGACTAGACTGGGTGAAGTGCAGGTAAAGCACTGTGTTTGGGCCCTTAGACTGGGTGTTCCGTGGCCAACATCTCTGTCTTTGGGCTCCATCTCCACCCATCATTTTCTCCTTAACCCCTCCCCCAAACCCTATCTTCTGCATAAAAGCAACATTTTTCGAGCTACAATTAGTTCTGAAGGAGGGTCACTGGACCTGAAACGTTAACTCTATTTTGTCTCCACAGATGCTGCCAGACCTGCTGAGCTTTCCCAGCAATTTCTATTTTTGTCCTTTAAGAATCCCGTACGTTTTAATGAGACCACCTCTCAATCTTCTAAACTCCAGTGAATACAGTCCCACCTGTTTGGTCTTTGCTCATAAGACAACCCCTCCATACCAGGGATCATCCTAATGAACCTTCACTGGCCCAATAGCTGGCAATATCTAATATTGTTAAGTCTTATACAAGAAAGGTCAGGAAATATAGTTATTGAAATCGCTCACTGTAACAGTGCTTCTGTCTTTGGAAATGTTCCTAACTTCAATACAAATGAAACTTGTTTGATCATTTGCAAATTTGCTAATCTACAGTTCTGATATCAATCTTTAGTCCCTTCACAAGAAAGACACTGTTCTGCCTGTATCGATGGTATTCAAAGGCCAGGGACTGGGTGGTATATGTGCAAGTCTTTTCTTTCTCTCTCTCTCTCTCTGAGAGTTCAAAGGTCTACCTGTTCTTTATACTGCTCTCCATGTCTTCTCTCATCTTCCAACTGCAACAGGATCTCTTTCAGTTTCTTCTCTGTACGGCGAGTTGCCTTGGTGGTTGCTTGTTTTTCCCTAAAAAGTAACGCATGAAACTGATCATTTAAACATCATCCTAGTGATCAGTTTCAGTGATAAGTCCTGTATCAGTTTCAGTGGATCAATCTGTCTGGTTTTTGACAGAACTGTATCCACATTAATTACATCAGGATTCCAAAACATAACCTGCTATTTAGTCCTAATACCAATTTAAAGTCTTATTAAAACAGGCTATTCATGTGGACAATCTGTAGAGATAGAGATCTGTGAGAAAAATACACAGGGAAGCAGATGACTTAATCCCATAATGCTTAAACACACAAACCATAAACCAAAGCCAAAACAGTTTGTGAAAATTCACACAGTTGCCAAATCAGAGCTGCTCAGTGAACTACTGGACTTGATATTTATAGTCCACCTGGAATACTGTGTTGCAGTTGTAATCTTTCTTTGCAGGTAGTTTGCAGATAAGTGCAACATACAGGAACCAGAAACACCTAAGTGATACTGTGTCTCATAATATCCTTTTATTCACTCTCAGGATGAGGGTATCACTGGCTGGGCAACATTTATTGCCCATCCCTAATTGCCCAGAATGCAATTAAGGGCCAACCACATTGCTGTGGGTCTGGAGTTACACGTAGGCCAGACGAGGTAAGGATGGCAGTTTCCTTCCCTAAAGGTCATTAGTGAACAAGATGGATTTTTTCCAACAATTGACAATGGATTCACAGTCATCATGTTTTAAAATTACATTCAAATTCCACCATCTGCTGTGGCAGGATTCAAAGCAGGTCCCCAGGTCATTATCTGGGTCTCTGGATTAATATTTCAGCGATAATACCACTAGACTATCACCTCCCCAAATGGTAACTAATAAACATAATGTGGGTTTCTAATCAACCTGGTCAGAGATGGGACTTGAATCCAGGCCTCCTTGCCCCAGAGGCGGGGAAACTACCACTACACCACAATCATATCACAGACTGCAAAATTGTCTTAATCCCAGAGGATACTCTCATTGAGAGAGAGTAAATCCAATATATTAATGACCTGATGGATATTTGTACTGACGATCCTTCACTATGAAAGCCTTAATGCTTGTCGTGACAATCTAAGGGCAATCTGAGATATCTTAAAGCCACAGCATCAACATGTTAGACCATTTTGGATTCATCATTTCTGGTCATTGCTACAAAATACACAAAAGGTAGTTCAGCACCTGCAAGTACGTAAAGACAACTGTGGATTTGCTCTTACTTTACTTCAGCCTCCAGTTGTTCTTCCAACTGGGCAATCTTTGACTCCAGGGCGGTTATGGTTGATTTGAACTTGGACTTGACGGTCCCTTCCATTTCTTGCAGCTTGGCCTTCAGCTCCTTGTTCTGCCTCTCGAGTTGCTGGCGAGCACTCTCGTTCTTCTGGTTTGCACTGCGCTCAGCAGACAGCTCGTTCGATAGCTGCTCTGACTAACAACCAGAAAGAAATGTTGTCAGAATTTACAAACCTCAGGCAAACCGGAGGCTCGTCTCAATCGGCTTGGAGTTCTTTGAACTTTCCCAAACTTACTTCACAACTACCTGAGAAAGTTGCTGATGTTTGTTAAACCCTCCAGCTTTAGCTAGCAGCTGGAATTGCAATATGGGTTTTGGTGTTTCCCCAAATGGTACAAGCATTTATTTTAAAGGAGAGTTTAGCAGACAATGTGCTGAGGTTTTAGATCCAAAATTTAATCCATAAGACATGAGCTCTGGGAATCCAACTGTAAAAGGATGGTCTCAGCACTAGACAGTGAGTAATTGTCTTGCTATTTTAAAAAAATCATTCATAGGGTGAGGGCGTCACTGGCCAGGCCAGCATTTATTGCCCATCCCTAGTTGCCCACAATAAAAACCGAAAGAACTGCAGATGCTGTAAATCAGGAAGGGAAACAAAAGTTGCTGGAAAAGCTCAGAAGGTTTGGCAGCATCAATGAAGAGAAATCAGAGTTAATGCTTTGGGTCTGGCAACTTTTCCTCAGGACTGATGGTAGATGGAAAAATGTTGGTTGGACTGTCCAACTGCTCTTCTCTTTCATTGGGCTCTATCCCTGCCTATCGTTTACACCTGAGCCCCTCCTCCCACTCTATCTTCTGCATATAAACTGATATTTTCCCAGCTACCATCAGTTCTGAGGAAAGGTCATGAGACCTGAAACATTAACTCATATTTCTCTTCCCTAATTGCCCAGAGGTCATTTAAGAGTCAACAACATTGTTGTGGGTCTGGAGTCACATATAGATCAGACCAGCTAAGGATGGCAGTTTCCTTCCCTAAAGGACATCAGTGGGTTTTCCCCAACAATTAGTAATGGTCATCATTAGACTCTTAGTCCAGACTTTTATTGATTTTATTATCCTGCCATGGCAGGATTCAAACCCGGGTCCCCAGAACATTACGTGGGTCTCTGGACTAACAGTCCAGCGATTATGCCACTAGACCATTGCCTCCCCTATTTGGTGATATATTTCCAAGTCAGGATGGTGAGTGGTTTGGAGGGAACTTGCCAGGGCTGGTGTTCCCATGTATTTGCTGCCTTTGTCCTTCTAGATGGAAGTGGTCGTCGGTTTGGAAGGTGCTGTCTGAGGATCTTTGTTGAATTTCTGCAGTGTGTCTTGTAGATGGTACACACTGCTGCTACTGAGTGTCGGTGGTGGAGGGAGTGGATGCTTGTGGATTTGGTGCCAATTTGAATCCTACCACTACAGATGGTGGAATTTGAATTCAATAAATATCTGGAATTAAGAGTCTAATGATGACCGTGAATCCATTGCTGATTGTTAGGAAAAACCCATCTGGTTCATTAATGTCCTTTAGGGAAGGAAACTGCCATCCTTACCTGGTCTGGCCTACATGTGACTCCAGACCCACAGCAATGTGATTGACTCCTAACTGCTCTCTGGGCAATTAGGGATGGGCAATAAATACTGCTTGGTCAGCGATGCCCTCATCCCCTGAATGAATTAAAAAGAAGTTCCTTCACTGTCGCTGGGTCAAAATCCTGGAATTCCCTCCCGAATGGCATTGTGGGTCAACCTGCAGCAGGTGGACTGCACCAGTTCAAGAAGGCAGCTCATCCCCACCTTCTCAAGGGCAGCTAGAGATGGGCAAGAAATGCTGGTCCAGACAGTGATGCCCACATCCCACAAATGAATAGAAAAAAAAAATCCAGAACCTGGTTCTCTGGATTAACACTCCATTGATAATACCACTAGGCTGTCACCTCCTTTAGGCTCTACTAGAATGATTGGTGTTTGAATGAACTAATTGAAGAATAGATACAATCTTCACACAATCTTTCATTTTCATGTCACTTCAGGAGATTATTCACCTACCTCCAACCTCTTTCATCCAGGGGAAGTTTGCTGCCTTGTGACTCATTAATAGGATTGTTGTAGATTACCATGTGGGAGTCTCCTTCTCAACCTCTCCCCTTGCCTGAGGCGTGGTAACCCTCAGATTAAACCACCACCAGCCGCCTCTCTCTAATGAGGGACTAGCCCTATGGTTCTCTGGGCCTATGGTGACTTTACTGCATGTTGCAGGAAACAGTGGAAGAAAGGTGATTTTAGTTGTTGGTATGTATTATTGCTGGCTAGGAAATTGGGAAGACTGTATTGGTAAACAAATGTAGTTCTGTATTCGGAGATAACAAGGTGTAGAGCTGGATGAACACAGCAGGCCAAGCAGC